AACACCCAGACCACACATGACGGCCTCTGCCTTGTCGCCCAAAAGACTCTCCTTCCTAAACTCCCATCTATGCTCATGTGGTGCCAGCCTGCACTCTGAGGCGGATAAGAATTGGGCAAATCATTTGACTAGACACACGAGCATCTGCAACAACAAAGGACTGCGAGATCGGAACAGATTTGCTTGGTTAGCTATTCAATTCTGTCGTCATTCAAACTAAATCTCGTTCAAATTTCCGCATTTTCCGCGCCGACGACACCAATCACCCATGGCATCTGTACGCATCTGTAGGCATCTGTAGGCATCTGGCCGGGAACAAATGAAAACAAACTCATCATCAAAGTCGCTCATTATGTTATCCAAACTTCTTCTCAAACCTCTTCAGCATCCCAGTCACGCCATTCTCCAGCTTCCCCGCCTTCTGCTCCAATTTACTCTTTGTCTCCTTCTTCGGCTGGTACGGCTGCATCTTGGCAGTCATCTCCACCTCGGTCGGCCGATATACCTGCTGGTGGAGCGAATAGTCCAGTCCCCCATTTTGCGCCGGTGTCGGATTGTTATAGCTATAGTTGGAGTAGCCTCCGAGAGGCGGCGGGAGGCCTGCCGCATTGGTCGTGGGCGGTGTCGACTGGGCCTGCGCCGGCGGCTGTACTTGCGGCGGTGACTGCGCCGCTGTCGGTGGAGGTGCGAAGCTCGGCGGGCCGGGAATGTTGGCGGCGAATGTGCTGTTGAGGCTGGGCGATGCAAGGCCGGCCTGCACGGGCATCGTCTGCGCGCGGTGAAGGCCAGGCTGCTGGGGAGGGCCGCCGAAAGACGGCGGTGCCATGCGCGGGCTGGCCATACCGCTGGGAGGAAGCCCGGGGCTGGTGACTCCAGGAGGAAATTGGGAATGAGTATAGGCTGGCGTGAAAGGTTGTCCTTGGTAATCGTAGGCAACAGCGACGGCGAGAGGGTTCAACGGATCTTCATCGGGTGGGGGCGTCTTTTCGCGATGAGCCACAGTCTCTGGAGCCACCGGCGCAGCTGGGTTGTATGCCATGGGAGCAAAGCTGGCCGGTGCTTTTGGCGACTGCTGCTGCTGCTGCTGCTGCATGTGCTGTGGCATCGGGGGCGGCGGCGGCAAGTTGTCCATCGACAGCCCCGTACTTGCGCTGGACGGAATCACAGCTCCATTTTGCTGCATCGACGTCGCCGAATCCTGGCGCTCAGCGTACTGCGGATCGGAAATGGCGACATTCTCAAGGTTCTGGACGACAGCGCTTACAGCGCCAGGCTGAATGGCGACGGGCTCGTCGAAGACCTCGACTTGTGCAGGCGGCAGGACCCTCCGGACGCCATTGACAAATTGCAGAGCATCTCTGTCGGTCCAAAAGTATATGTCGAGGGAGTGAAGCTTGTAGTGATATTTATTCTCGTTGCGAGGGTCGAAGGTGGGGAGATGCCATTCTTCTGGAGAGACGTGCTGAGGGACAGTCAACGAGACCATGCAATGCTGCTTGTAGGAATATCGGACATGACTCTGGTCCAAAACTGAGATTCCAGCTTCACATTAGCAAGTCGATTTCGATCAAAGGTCACCGGATGCAGCGACTTACAACCATCAAAGGCGTCTTGGTCCTCGGTGCCAGCATTATTCGCGATCTCGATACGGCAACGGCGCGCGTGCGCATTCTCAAATAAGTAGACATACGAGCCCTTGTCGAAGCGATGATGACGCGGTTTCTGCTCCTCGCCGCCGTAAAAATAGTGAATATCGCCAAATCTAGAAATGTTAGCGACCGGAAAGCAAAGGACCATGACATGCGACATACAGAGTAGCCACAATCTCTTCCCCCTCTCTGGCAGCCATTTTTGCGACAACTTAGGGTGCCACGGTGCGAATTCTGGCTCGGTTCAAAATGCGCAGGCTAAATAGGTGAGATTAGACAACAGAAGCGCAGCGCAGCGATAGCTGGTCAAAGACGGAGTCGCAGGAGGCAGACGTCACGCGGTTTCCGCAAGGAGCCAGGGCTGTTCGTGTCACCAGAAAACAAACGTCTTGCTCCATTTCTAGGCCGGCAATCAACTTATATATGTACCACAATGTCGCAACAGCCTGCCCACATTGGCGTCGACCTGGGCGCTTAAATGCATCTTGGAGGGGTCGTCGTGTCCAATGAGAGAGATGTGATGGAATGAAGCCAAGTCACCCTGGCGGGGCCCTCGAGGGGTCCCACCACTGCCGATTGGGGGGGGTTTTCTCAGCCTTGAAGAAAATCTAAATTTGGCTTCATTTTAAGCCACATCAAGCTATATGAACATGTATAGAATCTTGGCACAATATAGAGTAGCTTGTTTGCTTAACAGCCCTGACAAGTCATCGCAATTCAATAGTCTCAAATCCTCTGGCCGCCGCCCGCCAGGTGCTAACCCCCAGTTATTAAGCCTGATTTTTAGCGCATCGTAGCTGTGTTCGCAACGGAACCACCGCTAAGCTAAGCCTAGTCTTTAAATATTCACGTGACAACGCGTGTCCAACGTGAACCCCTTACCAGACGCCAGCCTTTGCTTAACGTGTCACCAGCTCAAACCCCGCGAATAGGCGGTATGGAAAAATGCATGGCGAATCTCAGACTAAAGCGCGCGCCAGGCACCCTATATTCCACTAGAAATGACATCGCCAGAGGAGCTCCCGAGAGACGTTGTGGCTGATGACATTTTGAACGATGCGGGCAAAGTCGATGACGCCAAAGTAGCGGACGTTCTTGGTATCGCGCAAGATGACGACGAATTCAAGACGCTGAAATATCATCTTCTCGGCCCATCCTTGACCAAAGCCGGGCAAGATTCTGTTGACCAGAACAAGGTATGTCGGGGCCCCGCACACTGAACAACTTCGCCTGCTCACAGCTTCACCAAGGTATCAGAAATCATATACAATGCTTCCAAAGGGTCTAAATTCTTCAACCGGGAAGAAGAGCGCGACAAGATTCTAACACAAAAAATTGACCGCATTTTGCGTCGCAAAAAAGAACTGGACAAGCTCGATCTGACCCACGAGCGCCTGGCCGCCGACCGCCTCATTACCGAACTCGAGGCGTCCCGCGATTTGACGCAGCACATCGTTCACATTGATTGCGATGCCTTTTACGCTGCTGTTGAGCAGCTTGACCGGCCCGAGCTCAAAGATTTGCCGTTTGCCGTGGGAGGTGGCGTGCTTACGACGTGCAACTACCTTGCCCGCCGATTTGGCTGTCGTTCAGGCATGGCAGGATTTGTCGCCAAAAAGCTCTGCCCGCAACTCGTCCTGATCAAGCCCAACTTTACCAAGTATACCGCCAAAGGCAAGGAAGTGCGCGAGGTGCTGGCTGACTATGATGCGCGATTCGAAAGCGCAAGCATCGATGAGGCATACCTGAATATTACCGAATACTGCGTCGCTCACGGGATGGGTCCAGCGCAAGTCGTGGAACAGTTGCGCAAAGAGGTACATGAAAAGACGAACATTACCGTTTCCGCAGGCATTGCCGCCAATTCGCGACTGGCAAAGATTTGCTCCAATTTGAATAAGCCAAATGGTCAATACATTTTGTCTCATGAGAGGAACGAAATTGTGGCATTTATGCGCGATCTGCCAACGCGCAAAATCCCGGGCATCGGCCGCGTTTTAGAGCGCGAGCTTCTTGAGATTGGCATCAAGAAATGTGGCGACATATTTGAACATCGACAGTATCTTCACCGATTATTCGGCGACAAGACGTTCGAGTTTCTCATAGGATGCTATCTTGGACTTGGTCGTACGAGAATCCAGCCTGCGGAAGAATATGAACGTAAAAGCGTCGGCACCGAAAGCACATTTCGCGAAATGTCGCATCCGACGGCACTTCGCGAGAAGCTTCGAACAACGGCGGAGGAACTGGAGGGGGACTTGAAGCGGGCCGAGTGTAAAGGTCGGACCCTGTGCCTCAAAATTAAGCTACACACCTTTGAAGTATACACTCGCCAGGTGGTGCCCCCGCGAGCGGTTCATCTCACAGACGACCTGTATAATTATGCGCTTCCAATGCTTGCAAAACTGGAACAAGAGATGCCGGGCATGAAGCTCCGACTGATGGGTTTGCGATGCACCCATCTTGTGAGCACCAAGAAGCCCGACACGATGGCATTTCTGGGATTCAAGCCGAGGCGACCAGACGAAGCTACGCTTGCAGACTCGGCGCGAGTCAAGCACAAGACAATCGATACCCTGGCGGGAGCCGAGGTCGGGTTCGGAAATACTGTCGAGAAGCAGGACGTCATCAGTCAAGGACGCAAGTATGACGATAGCGACCAAGAGCAGCAGCGGAGGCATGGAAAGGAAGTTGTGCCTAATCCGAAGAAGCAGGAGATGCCGGAGGAGGAATGGTGGGATTGTCCCATATGCATGCGTCCGCAGGCAGCGAATGAGCGCCAGTTCAATGAGCATATAGATCTGTGCCTTTCGCGGCAAACCATTCGTGATGCGGTGCATGCGGATGGCGGGCCTGGCGGGACCAATGGAAGCACCCCAACCAAGCGACCACAAGCACCAGAAAAGAAGAGGCCGGCCAACAGCAAGGCTAGCAATCAAGATCCTAGGCAAAAGAAGCTGTGCTTCGGATAAAATGAGACTTAATAAAGCATATGATTTATAGAAGAAATATTAATCTTTGCCAGCCTTACTTCATCGTGCCATAAGTGTTGGATATTTGCCTCCTGGCGGTCAGTCGTACATGAACATGCAGTAATGATTATGGTTTCAAGATGGAAGCGCATATGTGTCGCACAAGAAAACGCTGATAAGCAGTAGGTGATTAGCGCCTGAATAAAGTCCAAATTGACGCGTGCAGAGATATTGTTTCCCCCGCAGATGCTGCGATCCAAATGGTATCATTAGAAGTTATTCATTTTTATTCCGATTGATAACCTACACTGCAAAGAAGTTTGTCATTTGTGAGGGCTTTGTATAAGTAAATAAGAAGGTCCTGGTCATACAAGCATTAGCCCCCATGGTCTAGTTGGTTAGGGCGCCGGTCTCATATCGATAGATATGACTCGTTCATAGATCGAGACATCCGGATATCGTGAGTTCGATCCTCACTGGAGGCACTTGATTTTTTTTGGGTTTTTGATGACTTGTTGCGTCTTGTACCTCTCCGTTCTTTTTTTTCGTGTCCCTAGGTAGCCATTAATATTGAAGGACGACGCCATGCCGTTACTCCCTCCGTCGATCCGATACGACCCGATTATGTGACGTGCGCTGCTAGAGGCACAAACAAAAAAAAGTCTTGGCTCTGTCGATCTCCTTGACAGCCCTTTGCACTGCTACCATGGCCATCTACAAGTCCCCGCCCGAGTTTTAAATGCTATTTGAATTTGCGAGAAACACTCGGAAACCCTGTGAATTGGATTACATTGCAGTGCCCTGAGGTTTGTATGCTCATAGCAGGGCTCGGAAGATCCTCGACGATTCCGACAAGCTGGCGACGCCTCATGTTTCCGCTTTGCCTGGCGCACTGTTCAAAATTCGCTTTGAACAAATCTCTTTGACATTATCATCAGGATATGCCTTACTTCTTCCACAAGCAAAGTAGCGAAACTTGCAACCGCGCAAAGGCCCGGCTGGCCTTCTCCTTCTGATGCCAACAATCATCGAGCGGCATCGAGCCAACAAAGGAACGAAATTCACTTGATATACTAATTATAAGTGGGAAAACCCGACTAGTTATCGCTCCCTTCTGTAACTGTCTTCGGTTGGTAAAAGGAAGATGTCGTCGAGACCGGAGCTGACTACCGGGAATGTTTACCGTAGCAATTTTCGACACCATGATAGATAGTCGGATTCAAGGACGTTTCCATGTAGTGGTCTAAAAGTGCGAATGGCTAATTAACTGTACCGTGCTCATCGAGACATAGTAAGTGGCATGTCGTAATAAGTCTTAGCCCGTAGGGATGCAGCATCTGGTCTCGTTGAATCGCAGTCGAAATTCAAAGTGATCAATGCTAATTTACAAACAATTGCCAATCCTGTCTTACCTATTCCCTTGTAGATTGTTTCAATATTATTTCAATAATCTTGTCCAAGTTGCACTGCCATTTAGTGGGGCTACACTCAGCCGTTCTGCCTGGTTCCGGGCGAAATTTCCCACCCACCACCGACTTGGTTTCGACATCTCTTCTCCAGCGCTCGCATCATCTGTGCAATTCAGAGCTAGGCGCGCACTAGCAGGCTCTTTTGCTATCACTTGCTTTCAATTTTGAGACATCTAGCAGGACTTTGAAGGACTCAGAACATACGGGGCGGCTCTTCCACAGAGCGCCGGCAGATTCCTAGGAGTACGCATCGCGACACAAGCGTTTCGCAGTCCTCAGACATAGATCATTTCACCAACACAGGTTTCTTTCTAGTGTCTCGCTGAGCCATTTCGAGAGCAACCGCTCACCAACAAGATGGCTCGGCCAAGAGACTCGCGCTCACCAAGCCTGGCGGACAGCCACGGTGCTCGTCGACACCGTGACGACCGACGACCGCGCGATCGTGGCGACGACAGAGGCTATCGTAGGCGCTCTCGATCGCGTACACCCGAGGTACGCCAGAGGAATCTGCCCACTCATCCGCGCAGCAGGCGTTCTAATGCAAAATCACCTTCCCAGAAACGATATCGCGACCGAGACGGCGGCCGGGACCGTGATTACTATCGCCGACGAGATCGCTCCCGCTCCCTGGATAAGGATCACGATCGCTACCGCGGTGGCCGTGATAGGCGCCGCTCGCGAGACCGCTACGATGACAGAGCCCGGCCATCCGATGGCCGACGCAACAGAAGCCGGGACGACGACAGAAGGCGAAGTGGCTCGCGTGGCAGAGACTCCCGCGGAGATGACTCTCGAAGTGAAAGCAGGGGCAGAAACACTCCACGCACAGACAGCGGTCGAAAACTGGATGAACCCCCCAAACAGTCCGGCGCTACAGCCGCCCAGGCCGATGCCGAAAAAAAGAAAGCCGAACGTCTCGCTAAACTTGAGGCGTGGAAAAAGAAGAAGGAACTGGAAGCACAAAAGCCAAAAGAGGTTAACCCCCTTCAAACTCGCAGCTTGCTGGCAGAAATGGACAAGAAGTCCAGCGGCGTGCCCTCTGATGCTGCCTCGCCGGCTGTTTCATCGGGCGCCTCGCCCACATCCGGCCCGGACTCCGGAAATGCATCTCCTGTGCGACCATACGCTGGCAAGTTCGATCCTAAGAGCATCGCGAAAAAGTCAGCTGCAAGAACACATGACGCGACAAAATCAATCCTGGGTTCCATCAACCCTGAGCAGGGAAAACTGTCTGTGCCGCCAGTCAAGCAATCCTCCGCATCTGCGTTACCGGCCAATCGCGCCAAGACGAGCGCTTTCGGATTTGGCAAGTCTCAGGGTGATGACAAGCTTCCCAGCAAGCGCAAACTTGACCTAGACGAGGAGGAGACCACGAAACGCAAGCTAACAAAGCTACCCAGCCTGCCCGTGGAGGCAGACGACACACCATATGTCGACCAAGACGATGATGATGACGACAATGGTGACGAATTCGCTGAAAATGAAGAAGAGGCTGCCGCCGCCGCTCGCGCTGCGCACGAGAGACGCTTGCAAGCTGAGGAAGAAGCATCAAAGGAAGCAGACGGCGACCAAGCCATGGCAGACGCTGCTCCAACTACCAATGGCACTGCCAGCATTGCCGAGGAAAACCAGATGGAAGTGGATGAGGAGGAGGACGATGTCGATCCTCTGGATGCTTTCATGGACGACCTACAGCATAAAGAATCCAAACGCCCAGCTGCCAAAAAGGCATCCACAATCAAGAAGCTGCCAGAACCCGAAGCTTACTTTAGTGACGATGATTATGGCTATGAGGTGGACCAAAACGACGCCGACGCTAGTGCCGTGCTGGCCATGACCAACAAGCGCAAGAAGAAGGATATACCTACAGTTGACTATAGCAAAATCGACATTCAGCCCATTCGAAAGAATTTCTGGGTGGAACCTGTCGAGCTCAGCGAGCTCAATGAAACGGAAGTGGCGGAACTTCGAGCAGAGCTTGACGGCATCAAGGTCAATGGCAAGGATGTCCCAAAGCCTGTGCAGAAATGGGCGCAATGTGGTCTCACTCGACAGACGCTGGACGTGATTGATAACATGGGTTTCGAGAAGCCGACCTCAATTCAGATGCAAGCGATCCCTGCTCTCATGTCTGGGCGCGACGTCATTGGCGTCGCCAAAACTGGTTCCGGAAAAACCATGGCCTTTTTGCTGCCCATGTTCCGTCATATCAAAGATCAGCCTCCGTTGAAAGAGTCGGAGGGTCCCGTCGGACTGATCATGACACCCACGCGCGAGCTGGCTACGCAGATTCACCGTGATTGCAAGCCGTTCCTCAAGATGATGGGCATGCGTGCTGTCTGCGCCTATGGCGGTGCCCCAATCCGCGACCAGATTGCAGAGTTGAAGCGCGGCGCCGAGATTATCGTCTGCACCCCTGGTCGTATGATTGATTTACTGGCGGCGAACCAGGGCCGCGTCACCAACTTGCGACGAGTGACGTACGTTGTGCTGGACGAAGCTGATCGTATGTTTGACATGGGTTTCGAGCCGCAGGTTATGAAAATCTTTGCCAATATGCGCCCGGATAAGCAGACGATTCTCTTTTCCGCCACCATGCCGCGCATCATTGACTCGCTCACCAAGAAGGTACTCAAGAGCCCCGTGGAGATTACTGTCGGCGGGCGCAGTGTCGTGGCCAAGGAAATTGAGCAGATTGTGGAAGTTCGCGATGAGAATACAAAATTCCATCGTGTGCTTGAACTGCTCGGCGAACTCTACGATGGCGACGAAGACGCGCGCTCGCTCATTTTCGTCGAACGTCAAGAAAAGGCGGACGACTTGCTCAAAGAGCTCATGGTCAAGGGCTATCCTTGCATGTCCATCCACGGTGGCAAGGATCAAGTGGACCGTGACTCTACCATTTCCGACTTCAAAAAGGGCGTCGTTCCCATTCTTGTTGCGACATCGGTTGCTGCTCGAGGCTTGGACGTTAAGCAACTAAAACTCGTCATCAACTACGACGCACCCAATCATTTGGAAGACTATGTCCACCGTGCAGGCCGTACAGGCCGTGCCGGAAACACTGGTGTTGCGGTGACGTTTATCACGCCAGAGCAGGAAAGCTGCGCGCCAGGCATCGCCAAGGCTTTGGAGCAAAGCGAGCAGCCCGTTCCGGAGCGCCTCAACGAGATGCGCAAGGCGCACCGTGAAAAGGTCAAGTCTGGCAAAGCCAAGGACACGTCTGGGTTTGGCGGCAAGGGTCTCGATCGTCTCGACCAGGAGCGTGAAGCGGCACGAATGCGCGAGCGCAAAACGCACAAGGCCGACGGCGAGGATGAAGATGAAAAGAAGGAAGACAAGAAGGAAGAGGACGACACCAAGCACGAGCGGGCTCTCGACGCCATCAAAGCTGCCGCGTCTGGTATCCAGTCGCGCGACTCTGCCAAGGCCGAGCCTGCCATCAACGAACCCGTCATCAAGACGTCTGGCGTTGTGGCCAGCAATCCCGGCGCGTCCAAGGGCGGGGCGGCCGGCAGCAACCCGCTCGACAAGGTCAGCTCGGCCGTCAGCGCCATCAACAGCCGCCTCGGCAAGGCTGGCCAGCTGCGGTCGGGCCAGCCCATTGACAACAAGGGCCCCGACGCGGGCGCGTTCCACGCGACGCTCGAGATCAACGATTTCCCTCAGAAAGCGCGCTGGGCCGTCACGAACCGGACCAACGTGGCCAAGATTCTGGAAAACACTGGTGTGTCCATCACCACCAAGGGCAACTTTTACGCGGCGGGCAAGGAGGTGCCCGAAGGCGCGGAGCCGAAGCTGTACATTCTCATTGAGGGTGACACGGAGTTGGTGGTGGGCTCGGCGCTGAATGAGCTGACGAGGCTTCTGAAGGAGGCTACGATTGCGGCGGCGGACGCGGATAGCAGGGCGCCCGCGAGCGGTCGTTATACCATTACGTGATTTTGCTTGCTTTTGAGTTGCATTTGGCTGATTTTTTTTCCCGTCGGTCGATGATGGTTTGGGCGGGAGTT